CTGCTTGATTTGAAAGAGACTTCTGTGCAAGCTGTGTTTTATTGACTATAGACAATATCCCTTTTTTTCCTGTGAAATTTAGTGTTACCACACTTCTACTGGATAGTCATGCTCATATATGAGTGTTTCACCTCTGTAACTTATTTCATATTGGGGGAATTGATGGTGTTAGAACTCTCCGCATGTTACACTACCCCAGTTTTCATATAAGCAAAACTATTTCAGTACTCGTTGAGAAAGACCTGAGAAGTAGTTCTGCCATTTTCTCTGTACCGCTGATATTAGGCCAGTCCATTTCAGTTCCTCTGGCAGTTACAGGAACAGAACCCGGGAATAGTGACTGAGCTGTTCGGTGGTTTTGCTTTCCAACAAAACAGATGGGGTACAGAGTGAGCTGTGGTGCTGACGGCTGGAAAAAGGCTAGGTGGAGGTAATGGGTTTTGGCCCGAAAAGGCTGTGTCGTGCTGTGCCTGAGGATGACTGTCAAACTGAAGAGCTCGTCTGCTCTGAGTACAGAAGAGATTCATAGATTTTGATGTACAGCGAGGTCCAAAAGTGTACATTTAATACAAACATTTGAGCTTCGATGGAAGCAAGAACATCTGAGCATCTGTACAAATGATGATCAGTGTCACACATTTACTTAAAAATGCTGAATATTTTATTTGATCTTTTATCCAGGTTTAAATGGAAAGGGGAAAAAAATCTTAACTTTTAATAGTCACAGATTTAAAACCTAGATAGAGAACTCTATCATTCTTATATATTTAACACACAGTTAATCAACATTAGCTACATTTACATGCGTATGCAAATAATCCGTTTATAATTGGATTGATGACTAAATCTGACTGAAAAGCCTAAATGTAAACGCCTCAATCGATCTGGCCGAGCTTGATCTGAGTTCAAATAAATAGTCAATAGTTAAAATAAATAAATAGTCTGAAATAGTCAGATCAACATATGTTTAGGTACATTTTATGTCATACAAACATGTGTATGTTTATTTACGTGTCATATCTTACCAACTGGCCAGTGAATGAGACTGAATATTTACCTAGCATATGCTAAAAAGCTATTCTAACATAAATTTTAAGGCAAAAACAACAATATTTGAAGTAGTTTTGTTTGTAATGCATATAATCCATGTGTAAATGAATATGTGAATCATATTGCAACATTTAGGGTTCATATAAACAGACCTTTAAGAATTCGAAAGCGGATTGGATTCATTCCAACTGACGAAAATTAGTGCATGTAAACATATCTACTCTGACCTCTGAGAGCTTTCAGTCCAAGATTTTGCTGTCTTTGTATGCCCACTTACAAATCCCTTGAGTGAAAATGATTTCTTTGTGTAGCTTCTCCTTTTCCTGCCAAATTCAGAAGCATTTATTCCACTCCTCAGCTGCAGTTGTCTGTCAGGTAGGTTTACTGAGGCCTGTCCCCGCTGATATCTATACCTGTCGGTTGTAAGGACGTGCTCGGGCTTTTAGGCCAAGCCATTAGCCAATGGAGCAGAAAAGCAGAACCCCACGGCGAAGGCGACACTGACTGCTTATGCTGATCGAGCACCATGGACGTCTCGTCTCGACGTCTCGACTTACTCTCTCATGGTTCGATGGAAAATGTAATCAGATCATGAAGATTGATCGCAGCCCTGGCTGTGATATTGAACCTCACCAGTTCTGTCTCCTCTCAGCCCCTGGTGGGTTTCAGCTTTTTCCTCTGAAAGCTTCACTCTGTGAAGTCATGCGTCCTCAATCTCCACCTTTTTACCACAGGGCCTCAATATCCCCATGCATTATTCAATAGAGTTTTCTCAGTTAAAGGGTATGCTCACCTTGGTACAGTGAGGTGTTGGCTGGACGAGGCTCTTCGGGGAAAGAACATCTCGTCTGAGATCAAACGTTATTGAGCCTGTCACTCTGAAGACACACAAACACATCAGAGCAAGCAAGAAGCACAGAAGAATCCCGAGGGGGAGGCTTAAAAGGTAAAGCAATGAAAGTGGATGACAACATGGACGTCTCATACGCGGTATGAGTCAACAGGGCACTTTGCTAATGGGAAACATTCTATTTTCGCACCAATACGCTCAGGATGTATAAAAACAAAATGTGCAGGGATGGAGGGACGGCGCACTTGTACCATCAAGAAATGCTCATTGTTTTAGCTTGTTCATTTTAATGTAATTTGCAACAAATCATTTCATTTGTTGAGGTATTACCAATGACTACCGATGGCTCACGACGTGAATGAAGCGATTGATTGGCACTAATCTGTTGAGAGTGAAATTTAATGGAGCTCTGTTCTCTCATTTGGGAAATGGCAAACACGACAGTTTAAGTAATGGGAAATATAATCTGTTGTCTGATCATATCAGGCTTTTTCCATTGTTCTTTTTCCTGCATCATGCAATTAATAGCCAAAATAGCCTTTTAAGTTTTTGGTTACAGATAATGAAATCTAATCATCCAGGTCACTGTGACCGCAAAAGCTGTTTGGGATGAGGTACATGTATTATATCTACTATTCCACCTAATATATTTTACCCTTAGTGGTGGAAGATCAATTTGATGACTCAAGCTGTGCATTTCTATGGACACTGAAAACTTTTGCAGACTTTGCAAACTTTTGGAACACAGTGAAATTCACATAAGCGAATCCTCGCAGTCTCATGTGTGCCAATGAAAGTCAATAAATTAAAACGTGTAATGCTACGCTCCTTCGGACACTGAAAGGATACTGAATATGAAATATGCAAGTTAAAACTAGCAATGTTCTGGTTTAACAAAAAATGTAAGAAACATTATCAAACTGATTATATCAAATGGCCCCAAAACTGAAAAGAAATTGTTTTTGGGTCCATTCACAGAATGTGAGTAGTTTGTAAACATGCACTAGACATCTTTAAAAGTTGTGCCGCTTCTATCTTCTTTCCAGCACCTCGCTCACAAGTGCCATGCTGTTAAGATGTTGTATCAGTTTAAAACAAAATATGATCTTTCCATTTCATTGCATTTTGTTGAGCATTTTTAAACATCCATTAATGTCTAAAACAGGGCTGTCCAAACTCAGTTCTGGAGGGCCGGTGTCCTGCAGAGTTTAGCTCAAACTTGCCTCAACACACCTGCCGAGAAGTTTCTAGCATGCCTAGAATAACCTTGATTAGGTGGTTCAGGTGTGTTTAATTGGGGTTGGAGCTAAACTCTGCAGGACAGTGGCCCTCCAGGACCGAGTTTGGACACCCCTGGTCTAAAAGATGTGTTGCTCATGGCCAACGCTCAAATACATTTGTCGAGCGGATGTTTGCATTGAAAAACAATCACAAGCAAACATATTTAAACCATCCCTTTGAGTTTCATGATGGATGATTAAATTTAATATAGGCTACAAAACGGCCAAAAGGTTCAAACATTTATGCATAAAAACTACTACTAAATGGTGTTTTCTATGGCGTTTCTGAGCCACATTCACATGAGAATGATAACTATATAGCATCCATACCAATGCACAATAATATTCTGTTTATTGCAATCTCAAGCTCTTTGAAATTGGGTGGATTGTGATTGGCTGCCAAGGTTTTTATTTTTCATTAGCTGGAAAAAAAAAAATAGTTCTGAAAGTGAGTCCAATAATATTCCTGTGTTTTTATAGTTGTGGTATGGTATGGACTGACTTCCCAATATAAGCAGAACGACTGTTATTAAAACTTGACTTTATCCTTAGTGTGAACAGGCCTTAACAGTTTACATTTGGGCTTTCATATCAACAAACCGTCATGCAGAAATACCTCATCAGAGCTCAGTCAATGAAGCACAACTGTTTAATTAACAAAGGCTTTATGGGCCATGTGTCAGTTAATTATTGGGAGATCCATTTTCAGAGTTCATATGCAGTTTTTCAGGTTTGGTTACCTCATGCAAATCACAGATTAAATCATAATGCTACTTTATCACAGAACCCAAGTTATGAATTAACATTTAATTTCCAGGGAAATGTCCCATCTTCCCACTCTCTTTGGTTATACAAGTTGAGAGAAGTTGACTTTTGCTGATTTAGTGGCTAAATTGTATTCGGCTGGCATTGCACTGGGTGCACACAACGACAAGCGCACAATGATAATGTGCCAGAGGATGACGAGAGAGAGTTAATTGGGTTTGCCCTTTCTCTTAGGATGCATAGATTAAGAGGAATCATAAATTAACAGACCTATTGAGTCTTAATTGTGGCTGGTGAGTGGAAATCTCACCCTCATTATGGCCTCTGTGCTTTTACCCTGGTGATCATCGTTCAGGCATCACACAGAGACAACTAAAGGTCATATACTGCTGCCAAACAATAAAGAAATTCATGAGGGTGAAGGAACTCTCCAAGATACGTTTTAGTATGCAAAACTGGGTACCATAGTGATTATCTACTAAATATCAGTGAGGCTGGCGAGGTAGCTGGTAAAATAATCATATTCAGATGATGGCTTGAGTGAATTTTAGCTTTTTTGATCTCACAAATGGACTGACTGCCACTTTATGTAGTTTTACGTTAATGGTGATAGATACAATAACAAACTGCTATATAATAATTTATTTTTGATACTTTACTTTCCAATAATCAATTAATGACAGCAACTGACTCAAAATTTGTTTTAAAACTAGGTTTTGGAAGAGTGTGAAAAAATAATATTTGAGCAATTTGTTTAGTAGAATTAAGACTCACATGATGTGGACTTATTCTGTGTTGACACTGACTGTATAATTTTAGCAGCTTAATATAATAGTCTGATGAATTTAAACGAGGCTGGTAACTGAGTAATTTGTTTGTACAAGGCTGCCCTCTTAGTGTATATTTTGGAGAGCACAAACTACCTCCAAATACTTACCACTTCATTCTGTTTTTAGATTTTGAATTAAAGGAATAGTTAACTCAAAAATAAAAATTTGCTCTAAATTCAGACAAATAAAATTAACAAATGACAACTAAAATTTTAAATGAAAATGTTTTTCCCTTTATCATTACTATATCACATCATTATTCTCAACATTTTAGAGAAAACTTGAAAAGAAAATTCTTAAAACACCCTTGCCCATAAAGATTTAATTTGAGTTTCACAATCTCGCCCGACTGAATACCTCTATGGTACAATCTCTCCTAAAATGTGTTTCTGCAAATTCTGTCCTGCTCCATCTGAGACTTCGCCTTCTTTTTCAGCAGTAGGATGTGTTCGGCGAACTCTCGCACGGCTCCGTGACCTGCTGCGTTGCGGCAGATGTATTTGGCATGGTTGCGTGCCACCGTTGGGGCATCCATGGGTACTCCGCTCAACCCTGCCAGTTCCAGGCATTTTATATCCGCCTCATCATTTCCTAAAACACAGATGCCATTTTTAATAGTAATTTTAAAGAAATGGGTGTGTTTAAGTCAATCAAATGAAAGATTATAACATTATCAAAATTACCAGATAAATGGCTGATAAAGTAATAGGTTTAATATTTGTAGTTAATATTGAGGTACAATCTTTTAAATCTGTATTAGCCACACCACCTTGCCGAGACACACCATGTTGTTACTGATCATGGCATTTGGCTGATGTAACTGAAAGAAACATAGAGCTCCTGTCTCACCTAAATATGCCACCTCTTTCCACTCCATTCTTTTTTTCTCCATGAGTTCCTGCACCTTCTTCAGTTTGTCATCCACTTTCTGCAGGAGTGGACAGCCCATTCTCTGTGAGAGTTTGTCTGCTAAGGCATTTGTTATGGGGTCTTTTTCGATCAAAATAACCTAGAGGAAAGGGGGGAAAACAATATACACACACATACATTTTAAATTAGTGTTCATCAGAAGCAAGAAAATGATACAGTTTTGGAACAGCTTAAGGATGAATAAATCGTAACAGATTTTTAAAATTCAATTATCAATTTAATACACATTTCTTTTTTTTAACTAAAAGATCAGTCTCCGTAAAGACCGTCAAAAATTGCGAGTGCCGACTATATTTCAAGTCGTCACTTTACTTTCCAATAATCAATTAATGACAGCAACTGACTCAAAATTTGTTTTAAAACTAGGTTTTGGAAGAGTGTGAAAAAATAATATTTGAGCAATTTGTTTAGTAGAATTAAGACTCACATGATGTGGACTTATTCTGTGTTGACACTGACTGTATAATTTTAGCAGCTTAATATAATAGTCTGATGAATTTAAACGAGGCTGGTAACTGAGTAATTTGTTTGTACAAGGCTGCCCTCTTAGTGTATATTTTGGAGAGCACAAACTACCTCCAAATACTTACCACTTCATTCTGTTTTTAGATTTTGAATTAAAGGAATAGTTAACTCAAAAATAAAAATTTGCTCTAAATTCAGACAAATAAAATTAACAAATGACAACTAAAATTTTAAATGAAAATGTTTTTCCCTTTATCATTACTATATCACATCATTATTCTCAACATTTTAGAGAAAACTTGAAAAGAAAATTCTTAAAACACCCTTGCCCATAAAGATTTAATTTGAGTTTCACAATCTCGCCCGACTGAATACCTCTATGGTACAATCTCTCCTAAAATGTGTTTCTGCAAATTCTGTCCTGCTCCATCTGAGACTTCGCCTTCTTTTTCAGCAGTAGGATGTGTTCGGCGAACTCTCGCACGGCTCCGTGACCTGCTGCGTTGCGGCAGATGTATTTGGCATGGTTGCGTGCCACCGTTGGGGCATCCATGAGTACTCCGCTCAACCCTGCCAGTTCCAGGCATTTTATATCCGCCTCATCATTTCCTAAAACACAGATGCCATTTTTAATAGTAATTTTAAAGAAATGGGTGTGTTTAAGTCAATCAAATGAAAGATTATAACATTATCAAAATTACCAGATAAATGGCTGATAAAGTAATAGGTTTAATATTTGTAGTTAATATTGAGGTACAATCTTTTAAATCTGTATTAGCCACACCACCTTGCCGAGACACACCATGTTGTTACTGATCATGGCATTTGGCTGATGTAACTGAAAGAAACATAGAGCTCCTGTCTCACCTAAATATGCCACCTCTTTCCACTCCATTCTTTTTTTCTCCATGAGTTCCTGCACCTTCTTCAGTTTGTCATCCACTTTCTGCAGGAGTGGACAGCCCATTCTCTGTGAGAGTTTGTCTGCTAAGGCATTTGTTATGGGGTCTTTTTCGATCAAAATAACCTAGAGGAAAGGGGGGAAAACAATATACACACACATACATTTTAAATTAGTGTTCATCAGAAGCAAGAAAATGATACAGTTTTGGAACAGCTTAAGGATGAATAAATCGTAACAGATTTTTAAAATTCAATTATCAATTTAATACACATTTCTTTTTTTTAACTAAAAGATCAGTCTCCGTAAAGACCGTCAAAAATTGCGAGTGCCGACTATATTTCAAGTCGTCACGGCGGGGTATTGGGTAAAGTTTTCAATTAGCAATAATCGCGCCTCGGATAAACCTCATAGGCTACGATACTGCCACTGCGCAAAGATAACCGGCTAAAGGAGACATCCGAGTACTTGTCCGTCTGAGCCCCTGTGATCATCAATGGTGGGATCTGCAGAACTCACTAAAGATGATCAAACTGCACAACTCTAAACTTAAACTCTTAAAACCGGCAGTTTTAAAAAGTGAAATATCAAGTTGTGGATTTTATACCCAAGTTATATTGAATTAAAAGACAAAAACAAGAGGGGTCCCAGTTGCATGATGGGATATGAAGGGGCAAAGACAAAAGAGGGATGGGTCTATTGTTGTGTAGAGGTCGGGGGTGGGTAACACAAGGTTGCCAATCAAGCCAGAATCACCTTCACTTCCTCTTTCTTCAGCATGTCGATGCCGGCCTGGTCTCTGGTGTTGATTGACACCATCTCCTCTCCATTTGCTGAGATGTAGATCTGACCGTCTGTCAGACATCCTGACACGTTACACAGCAGAAGCCTCACAACTTCAGGTTTGTCCTTACCGAAGTAACCGAACCTGTATCAAACATACACACCCACACAGTTTGTTTAAATTCAGACTTTGTACTCTTTGCATTGTGGTTGTTTGCTAACATAAAGTTGCTTGGAGACTTTTGTTCCTTGACCTCAGCACTCTCTGTTCAGCTACGGGCCAGTCTATGTCAACATCAATATCCACACTGTACTCGGGCTTCATCTCAAAGTACTTCATTTTACCACTCTGTCAAATGTAAAAACAAAATCACAGTCATGCCAAGATATTAAGAGATTGACTGAGGATATTGAGAATGAGTAAAATGGTGGCCTTAATGGTACTCATTTTAAATCCCAAAATATTACCTGAAGAAGCCCCTTTTCTAGAAGTTCTTTGGTAGTGAAGTAAAAAGAGCCGTTTTCACACAGCTCTCCTGCCCAGTCCTGACGCCGCGGCCTGCAAACTGGGTTCAGGTTCAGTGCCTTAGTACATTGGCCATCTGTAATTTAAATAAAACATTTGAGTCTCCAACATGCAATAAATACTACCTAAACTAAAGTACAAGTACACTGCTGTACAAAAGTAAGTGGGTAAGATTTGTAATGTTTTTGAAAATCTCTTAAGAAAGTGTTCATTTCTTTTTAAAAAATCTTACTGACACCAAACTTTTGAAAAGTAGTGCAAAACTAGTCTAAGACTCGATTCACAAGTGTTCTGAACATGTACATGTAACAGTATTATTTTCTAAACTGAACATTTACAGAATGCACTTCAACACCACGACTGAGGTGCCCTTGAGCAAGGCACCGAACCCCCAACTGCTCCCCGGGCGCCGCAACATAAATGGCTGCCCACTGCTCCGGGTGTGTGTTCACGGTGTGTGTGTGTTCACTGCTGTGTGTGTGCACTTTGGATGGGTAAATGCAGAGCACTAATTCCGAGTATGGGTCACCATACTTGGCCACATGTCACGTCACTTTCAACAAACCTCCTTTCTCGACCTCTTGCCATCGGAAATGGTGTCGCCGGACCACAGAGAAGACAGAATCAAACCCTTCTTTGGTGATGAACTCCACAGCCTCTTTGAGATGGTGGGGGTGCAGACATGGAGACGTGGCCTGGATGTTACAGATGACGCCAACATCTGTGCAAGAACATTACATTAACGGTAACCACATTTGTAGCCAATTTTCGATTTCTGTGCTCCACCAACTGTTATTTACTAGACTGTGAAATTACCAGCAATTTCTGAGTGAAAATGTTTCATACAATTACAAAGAAACAGCAAGTAACACATTGAATTAAATGTAAAACTGAAATAGTATTTTCTTGTAATATGTACTCCAATATCTTTGCTTTATTTACAACTTTGAAAAATATTTTATTTTAATTATATATATATATATATATATTATTTTATTTTTTACAGTGTGCAGCATTTACTATCTTTTTACACTCCAGACCAGAGACTGAAGGAAAATATTGCTCAAACCTTAACTATGAAAACATTCACCTTCTAGCAAGGTTTTGAAGCTTGCAACCTTGAGGAACAAGCTGTGTCTCGTAAAAATAAATATAGATAAAGTAGAATTAAAATAGAATAGAAAGTGTTAGAGTTAGAGGGTCAAATAAAGCTCTCTCAGTTTCTTTGTTACAGGGGAATAAATATATTTAATCAGAACCATATTTTCAATGAAAAAAAAAAAAATTACTTCCCTGGTAAATATCGCAATCAAAGGTTATTATAAACATTGCTGTGCATCATTGAACAAATATTTGTTGGCTGCAGAGTCTGTTTTTCACAAATAACAAAGAGATGAAGGGTGAAACTCTCCTGGTATGCAACGACAAGTATGACAGAACTTCGTTTACGTGGCTTCTTACCTGTTTCTATATTTGTTTTACTCTAAAGCAAGCAGAAGTAGGTGGAGGAGTGGACACACCTGTTTTACAACCTGTAGTCACACCCCTTATACAGAACTAAGTCATGCAATGGGATGTGACTGCAACAGAGCCTGTTTTCCAACCTGGGTTTAGCCTGCTGAACTCCTGAATGGTCTCCAGTGAGCTTGAGGAGTCTTTGGACACCTCTGGACTCCTCCTGTGCACTTCAGCACCCCAAGCCCTGGCCACACTCGCGATCTCATCATGATCAGTGGACACCCAAACACTGCAAAAAAACATGAGCAGAACACAATAATGTCTACTGCCATAGAGTGCAGCCAATCACTGAGTGAAGTCCCATTCAATCACCTGTCAAAAACACCAGAGTCCAGCGCTGCTCTGATCACCCATCCCATCAAAGGAACACCTGCCAGCATCTTGATGTTCTTCAGAGGGATGCCTTTACTCCCTCCACGGGCGAGAATAAGAGCAGCGATGTATCTTGAATCGTCCGAGTTGACTTTTCTTCGTTTTGCATCGGAACAGTCGTCATTCAACCCTCGCATGCCGTTTTTGCTCGCCGCGGCCATTAGTGTTGCTAATCGATTAATATCTCCCAGTAGTGCGGATAATAAGCAGTCAGATATAAGTGTATACCTAATCCAGACGCGAGCAGCAGGGCGTTTCGTTCATTCAGAAGCAATTTATCTAATGTTACTCAAACCATAAAGTAGTGTAATGATTATGATTCGATTGACGGTGCGTGACGTCACTGCTACGGACAAATACGGAAGGAGTGATGCCTTCGAGCACACCTGTGGACAATGAACAATTCTTGGATACCTTTAAGGGGGGGAGAAAGGTGAGGACGCGCTGTTGTCTGATAATTAACTGTGAAAGAGACTGATACTAAGGCTGTGTCCGAAATCGCCCCCTATACCCTCATTCACTATTCCCTACATTAGGTCACTAATTCAATTCACTAGAAGGAGTGAATGAAAACGAGTAGTGAATTCGGACACTGAGTGCACCGGAAGGAATGCCACTTTTGCATAGTTTGTGCTTGCTGTTTATTAATCATTTGAAACTAGCAAACTAGCAGCTCCAGTAGTAAGATTAAAGGATTTATCTTGAACTGTCACGGAAATGATGTATAAACCCTAATCAAACAATTTAATAATCAATTTACAATGAATTTATACCCGTGTTGTACATTATGCTGTACGCCATGGATGAGCGCTTTGTAAAAATGAACGGATTGATTATTCAGCTGCGGGCGCCATCTTCTGGCGAGATGCGGGAATTCATTCGGCGCGTGACTCTCACGGTGCATTATGGGCATTCTCTAGCCGTTGAACGTGCACCAGTTGTGGGATGGAATGAGTGCCCTCGAGAACGTCCACTATGGTTTCGGACACCACTAAAAATGGGTGTTCCCTCAAATAGTGCCCTATTTAAGTGTATAGGGGGCGATTTCGGACACAGCCTCTGTGTTTTTTAAGCCTGCTGGGTTCACAAAAGAAATGGCTCCGTAGCATTCGTGGTTGGCTAGCACCACCGGCGTGAAGAAAACCGGGGTCCCACTTATTGACCCGGAGGTAGATAGTGGGGGGGAAATTTAGGTAGATAGAGAAGAGAGTGTAGGTGGACCGGGCAGGCTGTTGGAAGGAGACCTTCCTATCATTGCAGCGGAGGGGAAGGTTGAGTCCTCACAGTGACGGCAGGGTGTCGTCGGACTTGGTCAGGGAAGTCCGAAATAATTTTAATTCTATAAGATTTATGTGTGTTGTGTGGTGGCATAAAAACACTGACGGCGGGAAAGTTTGACATTCATTAGACATTCGGGTTTTTTTGCCAATTAAACTCTTTGCAGCTTTTATGTTTTGAGCCCAAACTAACTCAGATAGACATAAATATATGCCCTTTATGTTGCACAAGGCTTAATTTCTAGGAATTAAAAAAAAAAAAAAACCATTTAAATTAATTAAACAATTTAACTGCGTGACATTATAATATAAAATCAATACTAAAATGTTCTGGAAAACATACCGGTTATCGCACAAAGCTCCGTTTTTGGAATTACAATTTTATGTTTTTTATAATAA